TACACAAAAGGAATTTGTGTTGGGTGGCAATTACATTCATTTAAAAAGTTTCAATATTAAGTAAAATCAGATGGATATTAAGAAGTAAATAGGAGTTCATCAGTTAGGGAAGGAAGGAGGGGGCATTTTAGCAAAAGAGATCAGCACATCTAATGTCACAGAGATGTGTAGTGGCATGGATATTTGGGGATGTTTGTAATGGCTAGAGGAAGAATATGAGCACGCACTTTAGCTCTGGGTTCAGTCTTGGATGCACCACTCATTAGATGTGATCCTGAGCAAGTAACTTTATGTAACCAATCCTATAGTTTCTCATTTCTATTTTTTTTAAAGATTTTATTTATTTTTATTTGTCAGAGAGAAAGAGAGCGAGCGAGCTCAAACAGGGGGAGTGGCGGGCAGAGCGAGAAGCAGGTTCCCCGCTGAGCAAGGAGCCAGATGTGGGGCTCTATCCCAGGACCCCAGGATCGTGACCCGAGCTGAAGGCATACACTTAACTAGCTGAGCCACCCAGGCGCCCCTAGTTTCTCATTTCTAACACAGAGATATTCCCAGGCACATGGTAGGAAGTGCACAATAAATAACAGTAATATTTTCTTTATTATTCAACATATGTATATATATATATAAACTTATGAGAAAGCTATATATAGTTAGACCATATTAGCTGGACAGCTTGAAGAATTCATTAGAGTTCAGCAGTTAACATTAAGAACTCAACAATTCCTTAAAGAGATGAAAAATGAAATGATCAGAGTCCCATTTAGAAAGATGACCCTAGCACTAACGTGGAGGACATATTGGAGAGAAACATGACTAGGGAGTGTGAGAAGTAAGAGAGACAGTGAGGGCATACTTCATGCCACAGAGACAGTAAAACAGGCACCATCTGATGGAAGGTCAGATGTTAAGGGATACTTCCAAGTTGTTGGTATGTGTGATTAGGTTTTGCCATAGATAAAAAATAAATAAGTACATGTGGGCAGGGGAAAGATAGAAAATCAATTTAGAAGGTTTTATTTTTATTTGTTCTTTAAAAAAAAGAGACACATAAAGATTGGGATGTTGTATTCATGTAGAAATGCCTAGGGAACAGGTTTGATATAGGATCTTGGAAGTTAAAAGGAAGGTATGGGGCGCAGTTGTAGGTAAAAACTGTGGAAGGTAAGATAAAGGCATGAGCTGTAGATTTGATTCGGTTCTATTTCATTCATTCATTCCATATTTATTGAGCAACTACTATATACAAGACCCTGTGAAAGGGTCAAGGATAAATGATTTACTGAAATAAACATGGTCATTGTTATAATTATCAATGAAGGAAAGGAAACATAAACATGCAGTTACAAACTGTGATAAAGGATCTAATGCAAAAGGGCAGGGTACTACATGCATTTATAGTCGGATCGAATCATTTGGGGGATGCAGGGTTCAGAAGCTTCCTGAAGATGGGCATTTTGCTGAGGATGAGTAAGGATTATCTATTTAGGGACAGTAAAAGGGTGGACAGTGTGCTTAGTGTTGCAGATATTCCCACAAATATCCCTTAAAGTAAGAATCACATAGTGACTAGTAAAGACAAAACAACAATAAAATAAAGCCAAATGACTGTCTTTGGGGAAAACAAGGGCAGATGCTAGGGAGACTGGATCTACTCTGAACTCAGGCAGAGACTCTCAGAATGGAATGAAGACAGGCAGCAGGATCTGAGGGCAAGTGGTTGTATTCTGAGGCCAGTTTTAAAGCAGGAAAGAAGAGAAAATGCTGCTGAGCTCTGAAACACAGAAGTATTCAGTGGGTTCAGTGAGGATCCCTTGAGAAAAATGAAAAATTATTATCTGATCTGAGGATGTGGAGGTTATTGGTGTTCTTCAGTTAACAGGACAATAAATGGAAAGGAAATCAGATTACAGTGGGCTGGGAATTAAATTGAAAGCGAGAACAGAGACATTGTAAGAAATGCTTTCAAAAAGCTGGAATGGAGAAAAAGGGTAGAATCTGAAGGTGGGGGAATGGGTGACCTAGGATCTGGAGAGAGTTTTGATTTCGCCTCAGGGTAAATTAAGCATATGAAGCATACTCCTTAACTGAAAGGAAGGAGGCAGTCAAAAAGTAGAAGATGACTTAGAAGGAAGAAGAAAATACTAACTGATGGTTCAAGGCTGAGAAAAGAACAAGAAAGAAAGAGATTAAGAGCTGGAGTGGAAGAATTAGTCTTGGTCATGTGGAAAAATGTTGGGTATCGGGGAAGGTTCCAGAAGAACTTGGGGAATTTCATAAGATGATACTTTTATATATGGAAGGGCATAAAAACTGGAGTTGGATCATTTGATCCAGCATTACATTTTTAGGATGATAAGGTTTTGTTCTCTAGTTTCACACCTGAGACTAAGAGTGGTATAATATCTTGCCCAAGATCACAGAGCAGGGCAGGTTGTGTCCTCTCACAGAGGGCTCAAATGCAGCTTGACTATCGATTGAATGGATTTTTGTTTTGGCATAAACTAACTTTAAAGATCACCAGAGCACAATCTACATAAAAATTGTGTGTTAAATATATATATTTTTTCCAAACATATACGACTGATATGTGTCTTTAAGACATTATTCTTATGAGGCAACATAATATTTGCCAGTTTACAAATGTTGAAGAACTTTTCATTTGCTCTTTGGATTGACAGATAATTTAACTGCATTTGCTTACTTCAAAAGCAGAGGACTTCTACCTGTCTGATAAAACTGGAAGAATGCCAATATGGGCAGTGGATGAAAACTCTGTAATTCAAGCAAATTATCATTTTCCACTTAAAAATTAAATCTAAGGAAAACTAAAGCAGAAGTAGCTGAAAGTAGACTACAGTGTAATATTTTTTCTGGCAGATATGCTAGTTTGGGGCACTCTACTTGATTTCCTTTCATTTCTAAGGACCTGGTTATTTCCAAGCTAGGTTTAGGAAGCACCTCCCAAAATTCATTTGAATCAAGAAATTGGGTTGAGTACCCACTAATAAATTCACTGTTGTCAAGTTCTAAAATCCATTCCATGAAGGCAAATTAGTCTTCTCATCGGTGTTACACTGCCAGACGTAATAAGAGAAACTCATTTATTCTTTTATTCAACAAAAATCTCTGAAGCGCCTAGCAAGTACCTGCCATTGTGCTTGGCCCCTCTAGCTATGGAAAAGTGATTAAGAACAAGCAACAGGCTGAATGTAATGTTCCCTTTAACTTAACCATGAACTTAAATCACTTAGAACTGAAATAATATAGAATTTATTATTTTCCTGCAGATTAGGTTGGAACATCAATGATTTTGTCCTAGATTTGTCTTTGCTCTGTGTGATTTGGGATGTGGTTTGATTTAATCCAATATTCTTAGTACTAGGTTATTGCTTTTAGAATGCTTTATCAAGAATGTGCTTTTTTACATTTATAAGTACCTCTATTTTCCAAGTTCAGAGAGAAGGTATTTTATTTGATACGCCAAATCACAATGTCAATTTGACTGGCACCCTCATAGCATTAAAAAGTGACATATTAATAAGTATCTATACAGAGCATCTATACCACAAACAACTATTTATCTTTTGTGACATATTTATAAACATGTCTGGCATTTATAAATATAACTAACATTTAATCTTCAAAAAAAGTTAGTATGAAAGTGCATGTATAACTAATATAACTAAAAAGAAATAATTGCATAGATAGCAATGAAAAAGCAGTAGATTACATGGAAAATGAAAACATAAATCAACAGTAAAAGGTGATGGAAATGCTGAAATAGCCTAGAAGCACAGAAAATTAATCAGATTCCCTTTAATATTCACTCAGTGCCTGTTAGTATGCAAAACATCACTTATAAAATGAAAAAACCCAGCACTTATTAAAACTGACACCGTTTATAAAATTAAGAAAAAAGAGCAAGACTTTTAAATTATAACATCAACCACTTATATGCTTAAACTGCAATATGGTCCTAGAAATGAGAAAAAAATTATATTTAAATAACTGATAAAGAAGTAAAATCATCAAGTATGTTATTCCAAATTTAATGGAAAAAGTATTTTAATAGATATATTGTTAAAAAGAAGCCCTCCAAGTAGAACTGAACTATTAAGAAAACTTTCTATCTCATTGTGATATATCCCAAGCTTCCTCTTAATGCAGATGAATAATAATCTATAAAACAAATGAAACAACTATTATATTAATGCTCAAAACTCCCATTAGCTTCAGTACTTGCAACCTAAAAATGGACACCAATAATTGCCAAAGAAATTAACCTTAAAAACAACTCTCATAGACTACATGAGCAACTTAAAATTTCTAGGCATTCCAGCACCTATTTACTTATTCCATACAACATGGGAGAGAAAATAATGTTGCCTGAAATTTTATATCCAAGCAACAGAGATGGGGGTAGGTGAAGAGTAACCCAATCCACTGATAGGGCCTGAAATTCTATAACAGGTAAAGCTGATGTCCACTTTCTTTTCCAAATCTCTCGATTATAAAGCAGTGTGGTATTTAAGAGCATGAATTTAATGGTCAGATAGATCTGCATTCAACTATACTTATTAACTAGTTGTGTGAGCTTGGGCAAGTAACTAACTTCACTAAGCCTTAGCTTCTTCATTAGAACAATGAGAATTAAAAAGAGACCCTAATCATAAAGCTTAAAGGTTCCATGATAGAACATGTGTAAAAAACTTAGCACAATGCCTGACACACAGTCAAAGCTCCACAGAGGCTAGGGAGTTTGAACAGAAGTAATACTATAACAAGCACTCCTAAAGAATTTCAGGCAAGAGCATACTTTAAAAGAAATCTGTATTATTTATAAATATCTATATCTACGACATAGTTATATATGACATAGGTATATAGACAATTTACATTTGAATGTTCTTCATGTCAGTTTTTAGGAACGTATTTGTTACAAGCTAAATCTGTTAGGGGATTCTCTTAATCGTGGTGAGAAGGAAGTTCTCACTTACCTTGTCATTCACTACACTCTTCCCATCCCAAGCCCATCCTCTCTTGGTGAAGTAGTTAACAGTTGCAAATTCAATTAGGGCCGAGAACACAAATGCGTAACAAACAGCAATAAACCAGTCCATGGCAGTCGCATATGCCACTTTGGGGAGGGAATTCCGCGCACTGATGCTTAGAGTTGTCATTGTTAGAACAGTTGTTACTCCTGCAGAAAGACAGGAACCAAAAACATCAACAGATACTAGCAAGGCAGAATTGGAAATATTCTTTTTTTCAAAGCTACTTTCACGGCCAGTTCTATCCATTAAAAACAAAAACAAAAAAAACTGGGGGTGCCTGGGTGGCTCAGTCGGTTAAGCGTCTGCCTTCGGCTCAGGTCATGATCTCGAGGTCCTGGGACCCAGCCCCGCACTGGGCTCCCTGCTCAGCAGGAAGACTGTTCTCCCTCCCCACTCCCCCTGCTTGTGTTCCCTCTCTTGCTGTGTCTCTGTCAAAAAAATAAATAAAATCTTAAAAAAAAAAAAAAACTGGAAGAACAGTGCAAAGTTAATTATCACAAATGGCTATTATAATTCTTGAAGTAATCACTGTGAAATGCCTTCAGTTTTCATTTTTGTTTGTATGAATCTCCTTTTTCTCTCTTTAGTGTTGTTGCTAAGGTGAAAACAACGGATGATATTGAACGTAGAAATTCCTATGAGGAAAGCAGTTACTTTAAATTGATCCATTGAGCATTAACACTAATTTTTTAAAAATGCTACACAAAACCTCACATGAATTTGTTCATCATTTATTTAAATCATTCTCAGCAATGGACCAATCATCCACACCAGTGATCACAATGGGACTATGATTAAGAAGTTCTTTATTCTAAGTATAGCTACCTAAATATGAAATTAATTCGGATCACTTGGCATTGTGAGGATAGAATTTCTTTCATAATGAAGCTTAGAATCTATAGAAAATAAAACAAGCAACTAAACCTCAAACTTTATAAAAATGCAAATCACTACTTTTAAGGAATATTTTATGCCTCTGTTGGTTTATAAAGTAATTTAGTCCCTTTCATTGTAAAGCTTTTCTGCCAGTAGTCAGGGAAGTCACAACAATTAAGTAAAAAGAAAGCAATAACTCAGGAGGTAAGTTGCAATATCAGCTGTCAAAATGTCTGCAATTACCTGTTTTAACAGAGATCCAATAGAAGTTTAGTTATGTACATAGTGGATACATTAAATTAAAAGAGAGTTAAAATGTTAAAGAAATGTCCATTCATATATTAAAGTTTTATTGTGTTGTATTTTTTGCTTTCCCTTAGGATAAATAAAGCAGCTTTTTCTTCTAATCTACAATAGAGTTAGTAATTCAAAAGAGCAAAATAATTCTATTTAATCATGCATGAATGCATCTAGGAATATGATGGTAGTAGTAGGAATAAAAGGTAGAAAAATAAACTTAGTTCACCTGCTGCTAAGTCAATATTAAAAAACACATCTACAGAAACACATTGCTCTTTCATGCATCAAACTGAAAGGTTTTAGATCGTGAGGATGTTTTATTTTGAGAATTTGGGACAGTAGAATAATTAAATAGAAGACACGAGAGATACAACCACACACACCCACAACAGAAACCATATCTTCCTCCAACCCCTATATGCATGCCCACGTGCGCATTCGCGCGCACACACACACACACACAAACACACACACACACAATATAGCAATGCAAATGACAAATCAATATATGAAAATATACTTCACTAGCAGTTAAGGAAATACAAAGTGATAATGACATACCTTTTTAAAACCATACAGTCAGCAAAATATTAGCAAACTTTAAAAGATTTATACTATGGTAGTATTGAGGGGCAATGGACATCCTCTCTGAAGAAGAATTACAAATTGGTGTCATAGCAAAGAAACTGTTACCTAATCCAAAGTCATAAAGATTTAGGCCTATGTTTTCTTCTAGGAGTCTTATACTTTTAGTTCTGACATTTAGGTCTTGGCCCATTTTGGAATAATTTTTACGTATGGTGTGAGGTAGATGTCCAAATTCATTCTGTGGCATGTGGATAGCCAGTTATACCAGTACCATTTGTTGAAAAGACTTTTCTTTCCCTATTGAATGGTGTTAGGATTGTTGTTGAAATCAACAGACCATACCGTAGCAATTTATTATATATGTCTCCTGAGGCAAGGGAAACCAAATCAAAAATAAACTATTGGAACTTCATCAAAATAAAAACTTGTGCACAGTGAAGGAAACAATGAACAAAACTAAAAGGCAACCTATAGAATGGGATAAGATATTTGCAAACAACATATCTGATAAAGAGTCAGTATCCAAAAATATATAAAGAACTTATCAACTCAATACTCCCCAAAATGGGCAGGAGACACAGAAATTTTTCTAAAGAAGACATACATATGGCCACCAGACACACGAAAACATGCTCAACAGCCCTGATCATCAGGGAAATACAAATCAAAACTACAATGAGATATCACCTCAGAATGGCTAAATTCAACAACACAGGAAACAACAGGGGTTGACGAGGATGTGGAGAAAGAGAAACCCTCTTACACTGTTGGTGAGGATGCAAACTTGTGCAGCCACTCTGGAAAACAATATGGAGGTTCCTCAAATTGTTAAAAATAGAACTACACTATGATCCAGCAATTGCACTACTAGGTATTTACCCAGAGAATACAAAAACACTTAACTGAAAGGGATACATACACACCAATGTGTACATACACATTGGTGTGTATGTATCTACAGCATTATCTACAATAGCCAAATTATGGAAACAGCTCAAGTGTCCATCAACCAATGAATGGATAGAGAAGATGCAGTGTGTGTGTGTATATATATATATAATGGAATATTATTCAGCCATAAAAAAGAGTGAAATCTTACCATTTGAAACAAAGTGGATGGAGCTATAGAGCTAAGAGAAATAAGTCAGTCAGAGAAAAAGAAATACCATGTGATTTCACTCATGTGTGAAATTTAAGAAACAAAACAAACAAGCTTAGGGGAAAAAAAAAAGAGAGACAAACCAAGAAACAGACTCTTAACTATAGAGGACAAACTGATGGTTATCAGAGGAGAGATGGGTGGAGGGATGGGTTACATAGGTGACAGGGATTAAGGAATGCACTTGTGATGAGCACTGGGTGTTGTATGGAATTGTTGAATTGCTATATTGTACACTTGAAACTAATATTACACTATGTTAACTGGAATTTAAATAAACACTTTAAAAAATCAACTGACCATAGATATATGGGTTTGTTTCTGCACTTTCAGTTCTATTCCATTAATCTGCACATTGATCCTTATGCAAATTTCAGACTGTTTTGATGACTATAGCTTTAGAGTAAGTGTTGAAATTGGGAAGCTTGAATCTCCCAAATTTCTTATTCTTTTTCAAGACTGTTTTGGCTATTCAGGGTCCCTTGTATTTCCAAGTGGTTTTATCATAAATTTGCTCATTGCTGCAAAAAAAAATTGTTGGAATTTTGATAGGTATTGTATCTAAGCTACGATTTGGGCACGATGACGATCTTAACTATATTAAGTCTTCCAATCTCTGAACATGGGATACCTATTTATCATTTACACACACACACACACACATATATGTAATCTATTTAGAGATTCTTTAATTTCTTTTAGCAACATTTTGTAGTTTTCAGTGTACAAGTCTTTCACCTTTAAATTTATGTATAGGTATTTTATTTGGATGCTAATATAAATGGAAATATATCCTTAATTTCCTTTTCAGATTGTTCATTGTTAGTATATAGAAACACAACTGATTTTTTGTGTTGGCCTTGTACCCTGCAACTTTGCTGAATGTATTAGCTCTAGTAGTTTTTATGTGGTTTACTAAGGGTTTTCTATATATAAAATCATGTCATCCGTAAATAGAGTTCAAATTTTCCTTTCCAAACTGGATACCTTTTTTTTGTTTTTCTTACCTAACTGCACTGGCTAGGAACCTGCAGTATAATGTTGAATAGAATTGATGAAGGCAGACATCCCTATCTTGTTCCTAACGTTAGCACAGAAGCTTTTAATCTTCACTTCTAAGTATGATGTTAACTGTGGGGTTTTCTTCTATCCACTTGTATCAGGTTGAGAAAGTCCTTTTCTCATGCCAATTTGTTGGGTGTTTTTATCATGAAAGGATGTCGTGTTTTGTTTTTTAGTGTTTTGAGATGATTGTGTATTTTTTCCATACCCCATAAATTTGTTGTTTACATTGATTGATTTTTGTATGTTGAACCAAACTTTCATTCCTGGGATAAATCCCATTTGGTCATCATCACAAGTAATCCTTTTTATATGTGGCTGGTTTCAGTTCGCTAGTATTTTGTTGAAGACATCTATATATCTAAGGGATATTGATCTGTCGAGTTGTTTTTGTTTTTTTTTTTTTTTTACTTGTTATTTCTTTGTGTGTTTTTGGTTTTCTTGGTAAATGGTCCCACAGAATGAGTCAACAAGGTCCCTCATTTATTTTTTCAGAGTTTCAGAAGGAATGATGTTAATTCTTTTTTCAGTATTTGGTCAAATTCACCAGCAAGGCCATCTGGCCTTGGACTTCTATTGATTTTTTGTTGTTGCTCACTTCATAGCTTTATTTGTTATACATTTGCTCAGACTCTTGAGTCATTTTTGGTAATTTATTGTGTCTAGGAATTGGCCCATTCTAGGTTATCTAATTTGGGGGGATACAATTGTTCACAGATTCCCTTAGAATCTTTTTTATTTCCACAAAGTCAGTAGTAATGTCCCCTCTTACTTCCTAAATTTAAAGTTTTGAGTTTTCTTTTTTCTTGGTCAGTCTTAGCTAAAGTCTTGTCAATTTTGTTGATCTCTATGGTAGTGTGTTGATTTTCTCTAATGTTATTTATATTCTCTATTCCATTGATCTCTGTCAAATTTGTATTAACTCCCTTCTTTTTGCTTTGAGTTGTGTTTGCTTTTACAGAAGCAAAGGCAGAAGCAAGGAAAACATTTGCCTGTAAATGCTTTCAGTGGCATCTCCCCCGTAGCAACTTTTGCACTAGGGAATTCCGAATCAGGTAATATACAAAGACAAGCTTTTTGCAAATGTCTTCCAGAAAGACACCATAAAGTGATGACAATACTTTCTGAAGGAACTCCACTTTCCTCCCCCTAATACCAGGA